GGCTAGTTATTTATATGTTTTTAAATTGGGCTACGTTAATTTGTAAAAGTTACGAATGAAATGTCATTAGTTGTATTTATGTAGTGTTGCTGTAAATATTAAAAAATTTAATTATGGTACGGAACCGAACCGAACCGGAACGGTTTCATAATTATATTTGGATCCTACGGTTCCATTTATTAAATACTCGAAAATTTTGAGTCAATTCGGTTCTCTTCAAAATCGAACCGAACCGACTTAACCAACGGACAACCCTAAATATAATATAATGCCTATATTTCCACTCAACATATAGAAAACAATTAGAGCTATATGATACAAAGAATTCATTCGTGCCAATGATTTAGACATCAAGAAATCTATCTACTTATAAGCTACTTTCTCAAACTGATCAGATATCTGTATCTTTTAAGTAAATTCTCAGACAAATTATACATATTCATGGGCGAAATTCAAGAAAAGGAAATGGATATCCTGAGTAAGTTCTCGTTTTAAACATCTCTTGGTCCTTTATCATTAACTATAGTAAATAGTAACATTTGCGACTAATTTTTTCTTGTAATTAAATTCTTCATTTCACTACCCTATACTGCAAATGAGTTCATCCTCCACCTTCCCCCCAGCTGCAGTAGAGCATTTTTCCAGAATCTATCTGCTTTTCGTTAACACTAAATCATGTTTATTCCGAAAATCTGTTTTCGAGGTGCCTACTTCTCAATCTCATGAAGTCTTCATAGGCAGAGCATGAACTGGTATAAAACATCCCATCGAATAGAAGAAGAATAATGTTATTTAGCACCAATCTATGTGGCCACAATTGGTATGTTCAATTAAATGAATAATATAGCATTGCATTTAAGTGAATATGTCATTTAATACTATGTAATTGTCACATGGAATGCTATTTAACACTAGTAGTGATAAATAGCATTACTCATAGCAAAGTTCAAAGTTTTTTTTATTCCTTTTTTTGCCTGCGGTTTATTCAGTTCTAATTACTTCATTACAATTACTGCGTGAACACAAGATGTGTGAATTTAGTGGTTAGTAAAGTTTGACCTGGAGAAGTAATTAAAGGCATCTGCCCAACAGTCAACTACCTTATAATTTATAAATGCATCTCCTTTTCTTTCCTTCGTGTTCCGGTCCGTGCACATTCCAGGAGAGCGAAGAGGGGTAGGAGTGCGGACCTGGATACTATGTTTGAATTAGAGATGTCAAAACGTATCTTGCCATTCAAGCTCAAGTTTCTTGCAAGCATGGCAAGGCCCATAGACCAAAATGCATCTATAGTTGACCTGTTTTGGGCCGACTGCCTAGGTTTGTAAAACCAAAAAAAAGCATAAAAGAAAAGGAAATTTACATGGGAAAAATTCACTTTCCCTACTTTATCTTTACCCTATTTCAAAAATAACAAAACAACTTTTAC